TTGGTATTACAGTGGTGTTTAAATCTGGTATTACAGTGGGTGTTTAAATCTGGTATTACAGTGGGTGTTTAAATCTGGTATTACAGTGGGTGTTTAAATCTGGTCAGTGGGTGTTTAATCTTAATCTGGTATTACAGTGGTGTTTAAATCTGGTATTACAGTGGGTGTTTATATCTGGTATTACAGTGGTTGTTTAAATCTGGTATTACAGTGGGTTTTATATCTGGTATTACAGTGGGTGTTATATCTGGTATTACAGTGGGTGTTTAAATCTGGTATTACAGTGGGTGTTTATATCTGGTATTACAGTGGATGTTTATATCTGTATTACAGTGGGTGTTTAAATCTGGTATTACAGTGGGTGTTTATATCTGGTACAGTGGGTGTTTAAATCTGGTATTACAGTGGGTGTTTAATCTGGTATTACAGTGGGTGTTTATATCTGGATTACAGTGGGTGTTTATATCTGATACAGTGGGTGTTTAAATCTTATTACAGTGGTGTTATATCTGGTATACAGTGGATGTTTATATCTGGTATTACAGTGGGTGTTTAAATCTGGTATTACAGTGGGTGTTTAAATCTGGTATTACAGTGGTGTTTATATCTGGTATTACAGTGGGTGTTTATATCTGGTATTACAGTGGGTGTTTATATCTGGTATTACAGTGGGTGTTTATATCTGGTATTACAGTGGATTTTTATATCTGGTATTACAGTGGGTGTTTAAATCTGGTATTACAGTGGGTGTTTAAATCTGGTATTACAGTGATGTTTATATCTGGTATTGTGGGTGTTTAAATCTGGTTTACAGTGGGTGTTTAAATCTGGTATTACAGTGGGTGTTTAATCTGGTATTACAGTGGTGTTTATATCTGGTATTACAGTGGTGTTTAAATCTGGTATTACAGTGGGTGTCATTTAAATCTGGCAGTGGTGTTTAAATCTGGTATTACAGTGGGTGTTTATATCTGGTATTACAGTGGGTGTTTAAATCTGGTATTACAATGGGTGTTTATATCTGGTATATTACAGTGGGTGTTTAAATCTGGTATTACAGTGGGTGTTTATATCTGGTATTACAGTGGGTGTTTAAATCTGGTATTACAGTGGGTGTTTAAATCTGGTATTACAGTGGTGTTTAAATCTCTGGTATTACAGTGTGTTTAAATCTGGTATTACAGTGGTGTTTAAATCTGGTATTACAGTGGGTGTTTATCTGGTATTACAGTGGGTGTTTATATCTGGTATTACAGTGGGTGTTTAAATCTGGTATTACAGTGGGTGTTTAAATCTGGTATTACAGTGGGTGTTTAAATCTGGTATTACAGTGGTGTTTATATCTGGTATTACAGTGGGTGTTTATATCTGGTATTACAGTGGGTGTTTATATCTGGTATTACAGTGGGTGTTTAAATCTGGTATTACAGTGGGTGTTTAAATCTGGTATTACAGTGGGTGTTTAAATCTGGTATTACAGTGGGTGTTTATATCTGGTATTACAGTGGGTGTTTATATCTGGTATTACAGTGGTGTTTATATCTGGTATTACAGTGGGTGTTTAAATCTGGTATTACAGTGGGTGTTTAAATCTGGTATTACAGTGGGTGTTTAAATCTGGTATTACAGTGGGTGTTTATATCTGGTATTACAGTGGGTGTTTATATCTGGTATTACAGTGGGTGTTTAAATCTGGTATTACAGTGGGTGTTTAAATCTGGTATTACAGTGGGTGTTATATCTGGTATTACAGTGGATGTTTATATCTGGTATTACAGTGGGTGTTTAAATCTGGTATTACAGTGGGTGTTTATATCTGGTATTACAGTGGGTGTTTAAATCTGGTATTACAGTGGGTGTTTATATCTGGTATTACAGTGGGTGTTTAAATCTGGTATTACAGTGGGTGTTTAAATCTGGTATTACAGTGGGTGTTTAAATCTGGTATTACGTGGGTGTTTAAATCTGGTATTACAGTGGGTGTTTTAAATCTGGTATTACAGTGGGTGTTTAAATCTGGTATTAGTGGGTGTTTATATCTGGTATTACAGTGGGTGTTTATATCTGGTATTACAGTGGGTGTTTATATCTGGTATTACAGTGGGTTTAAATCTGGTATTACAGTGGGTGTTTAAATCTGGTATTACAGTGGGTGTTTAAATTGGTATTACAGTGGGTGTTTAAATCTGGTATTACAGTGGGTGTTTATATCTGGTATTACAGTGGGTGTTTATATCTGGTATTACAGTGGGTGTTTATATCTGGTATTACAGTGGGTGTTTATATCTGGTATTACAGTGGGTGTTTATATCTGGTATTACAGTGGGTGTTTATATCTGGTATTACAGTGAATATTGTTTACATCTCACTGTACTTTGTATCGTTAATATCGAAGCTGGAATACAGGTTCAGGTGAAAATACAGGTAGGTAGTTCAGGTACAAATTCAGCTGCAGGTAACAAGATGTCTACCACCGACAGAATCACGCCCAACCTCCAGTTCTTTCTTTCTTTCTTTCTTTCTTCTTTCTTCCTTCTACTTTCTTTTTTCTCCTTTTCTTCTTTCTACTTCTTTCTTCTTCTTTCTACTTTCTTTTTTCTTCTTTTTCTTTCTACTTTCATTTTTCTTCTTTTTCTTTCTTTCTTTTCCTTCTTTCTTCTTTCCTTTTCATCTTCTTTCTTTCTTATCAGTTAAATCTTCTCTAGTTATTGGTGGTAATATCACACTCCTTCATTCATCATCTTTCTCAATATTTCCTTCCCCATATCTTTATTATCATCTTATTACCTCTTTGTTCTTCTTCTTTATTTGCCTTTTTTTCATTGGTGTTATTGATTGATTGTAAAGACGTGGGTGTATGTTATATGTACATACACAAACAGATACACAAGCAAGCACATACATACATACATACACACAAACAAATACACAAATAAACAAACACACATGCACATACACACAAACAAATACACATGTAAACAAGCACATACATACATACACATACACACAAACAAATACACACAAACAAATACACATATAAACACATGCACACAAACCAATACACACAAACATACACACAAACATATACACACACGCATACACACACACACGCATACACACACGCACACACACACACGCACACACACACATACACACACACACACATACACACACACACACACACATACACACACATACACACACACATACACACACGCACACACACACATACACACACGCACACACACACATACACAATTTAATCTAACTGGACTTTTTATGGAATTTAAAACTTTATAACAGAGTTTTAGCTTCACATAAAATTACAAAGTTAATTCTTTCATACAGCCGCCATTTTGGTCCAACCTTCCGGGGCAATGGCCAGGTCGTTGGTGACTGATGGACATGGCCAGGTCGTTGGTGACTGATGGACATGGCCAGAGACTGTTGGTGACTGATGGACATGGCCAGAGACTGTTGGTGACTGATGGACATGGCCAGAGACTGTTAGTGACTGATGGACATGGCCAACTGATGGACATGGCCAGAGACTGTTGTGACTGATTGACATGGCCACTGTTGGTGACTGATGGACATGGCCAGAGACTGTTAGTGACTGATGGACATGGCTGAGACTGATGGACATGTTGGTGACTGATGGACATGGCCAGAGACTGTTGGTGACTGATGGACTGGGTTGAGAGACTGGACTGGACATGAGAGACTGTTGTGACATGATGTTACTGACTGGCCATGGGAGACTGTTAGTGACTGATGGACATGGCCAGAGACTGTTGTGACTGATGGACATGGCCAGACTGTTGGTGACTGATGGACATGGCCAGAGACTGTTGGTGACTGATGGACATGACCAGAGACTGTTGGTGACTGATGGACATGGCCAGGACTGTTGGTGACTGATGGACATGGCCAGAGACTGTTAGTGACTGATGGACATGGCATGGGTGACTGATGGACATGGCCAGGACTGGTGACTGATGGACATGGCCAGAGACTGGTGACTGATGGACATGGCCAGGAGATGTGTGACTGATGGACATGGCCAGAGACTGTTGGTGACTGATGGACATGGCCAGAGACTGTTAGTGACTGATGGACACAGAGACTGGTGACTGATGGACATGGCCAGAGACTGTTGGTGACTGATGGACATGGCCAGAGACTGTGTGGTGACTGTTGGTGACTGATGGACATGGCCAGGGACTGTGACTGATGGACATGGCCAGAGACTGTTGGTGACTGATGGACATGGCCAGAGACTGATTGGTGACTGATGGACATGGCCAGAGACTGTTGGTGACTGATGGACATGGCCAGAGACCCTGTTGACTGATGGACCAGACTGTTGGTGACTGATGGACATGGCCAGAGACTGTTGGTGACTGATGGACATGGCCAGACTGTGACGATGGACATGGCCAGAGACTGTTGGTGACTGATGGACATGGCCAGAGACTGTGATGACTGGACATGGCCAGAGACTGTTAGTGACTGATGGACATGGCCAGAGACTGTGACTGATGGACATGGCCAGAGACTGTTGACTGATGGACATGGCCAGAGACTGTGACTGGACATGGCCATGACTGATGGACATGGCCAGAGACTGTTGGTGAGTGACTGTGACGATGGACATGGCGGGCTGGTGACTGATGGACATGGCCAGGACTGTTGGTGACTGATGGACATGGCCAGAGACTGTTGACTGATGGACATGGCCAGAGACTGTTGGTGACTGATGGACATGGCCAGAGACTGTTGACGATGGACATGACTGTTGGTGACTGATGGACATGAGACTGTGTGGTGTGATGACTGTTGGTGACTGATGGACATGGCCAGAGACTGTTGGTGACTGATGGACATGGCCAGTGGTGACTGATGGACATGGCCAGAGACTGTTGACTGATGTGGACATGATGGACATGGCCAGAGACTGTTGGTGACTGATGGACATGGCCAGAGACTGTTGGTGACTGTTAGTGACTGATGGACATGTGTTGGTGACTGATGGACATGGCCAGACTGATGGACATGGCAGAGACTGGTGACTGATGGACATGGCCAGAGACTGTTGGTGACTGATGGACATGGCCAGGACTGTGTGACTGATGGACATGGCCAGGACTGTTGGTGACTGATGGTGGACTGATGGACATGGCCAGGACTGTTGGTGACTGGATGGCCAGAGACTGGACGATGGACATGGCCAGAGACTGTTGGTGACTGATGGACATGGCCAGAGACTGTTGTGACTGATGGACAGACTGTTGGTGACTGATGGACATGGCCTGACTGATGGACATGGCCAGAGACTGTTGGTGACTGATGGACATGGCCAGAGACTGTTGGTGACTGATGGACATGGCCAGGAGCTGGACTGATGGTGGCCAGAGACTGTTGGTGACTGATGGACATGGCCAGAGACTGTTGGTGACTGATGGACATGGCCAGAGACCAGAGACTGTTGGTGACTGATGGACATGGCCAGAGACTGTTGGTGACTGATGGACTGGCCAGAGACTGTTACTGATGGACATGGGTTGACTGATGGACATGGCCAGAGACTGTTGGTGACTGATGGACATGGCCAGAGACTGTTGGTGACTGATGGACATGGCCAGAGACTGTTGGTGACTGATGGACATGGCCAGAGACTGTTAGTGACTGATGGACATGGCCAGAGACTGTTGGTGACTGACGGACATGGCCAGAGACTGTTGGTGACTGTACGTATCATACCTCAACCTTATACCCATCATACCTCAGCCTTATACCCATCATACCTCAGCCTTATACCCATTATGCCTTATACCCATCATACCTCAGCCTTATACCCCAGCCTGTGTGTGTGTGTGTGTGTGTGTGTGTGTTACGTGACAGACGAGGCCCATGTGGTTGCCGGTGGCGTGGGTCGACTAGTAAATATTTCAGGTGGGAGCGCTTGAGTGGGTCGCTGGTTGCCTGTAGTTCGTGACCTTTCATGTAACGCGGGAGGGGAAAAAAATAAAATAAAATGCCTGCTGTGTTTCCATCACCTCTTGGGAGAAAAGTATAAGTGCTGATTTTGGAGTCTTTGTACCGTCAGAATTACTTGTATATGAAGGTGTGTGTGTGTGTGTGTGTGTGCAACCTACAAGCCGACATTTGCAAGGTTAACCTAACTCCAGTCAACAATGGCATTAAGAAGAAGACTATTACATTGTAAGATTATTTCAGAACCTCACAAATTATACCGGAGACTGTAGCTAATAAATTCCTCAGATTATAGAGCCAAGTCGTAAGATTAAAAACGTAATATGGCTCAAGGTTTCTCACTGTCGATCTTAGACAGGTATTAATATTTTTTGTGGCCGTTGTTATTGTTATTATTATTCTGTTGGGGGTAATAATTCGGTATTAGTTAATTCCTTGAGCAGGATCTTTACGGCGTGGATTAACTGAAAGGATTCGCCACCACACCGCCATGACACATTCACCAGCTACCTGAGAGGGATATCCTGTTGTGCTTTCTCTCATTGTATGTTTCATGGTGATTCATTTATTGTTTAGTGTTGGATTTTTGAGCGAGAGAAGGAACAGAAGACGTTAGGACAACCAGCTAATCATTGCTTGATCGAGCTACTACTTTGCTGTCACTCGGAATCGAGTATGACAATCATCCAGCTTTGATACAATATGAGTTTCTAAGGATGTCACCTTCGTGCGGGAGGGGCGTCAGCAAGCGTGTTTCTGGTGCTAGCGCTGATCTGCCTCGGTATGCAGTCGGGCTAACTCGAAAATATTAACTCCTTCGTGTGTTGCTCCTTCAAGTGTTACAGTGTGGAGTGTTCGTCTCCCAGGTGAGGGGGTCGATTTGGCACTTTTTCAGGTTAGTCTTAAGACTATCCTTGTACCTTTTCGTTGCCCGCCAGCGTTACGTTTACTATTCGTTAGGTGTCTGTAAAGTAGCTGCTTTGGCATTCTACTGTCGTCCATGCGGGGAACACGGCCAGTCCAGAGTAGCTGTTCATGGATAATGGTAGCCTCGATGCTCCTACAGTTGGTGTCAGCGAGAATACTGGCATTTGTTCTCTTGTCTTCCCAGCGAACTCGGAGGATGGAACGTAGACTACGTTGGTGAAAAGTTTTCAAGTGCCTTGAGGTGCCTCCTGTATGTGACCCATGTCTCACTGTTCGATACACGTACAACCTTATAGATAGTTTCAGCTCCCTACAGCTGAAGACACAGGTACGGAGTATGCGAAAAGTTTGAGATGCACATCTGATCCGATGTTGAATCTCTTCATCGATGTCTGCAGTGGTGGCCAGGTGGGAACCAAGGTACTGGAAGTGAGTAACATTAGATAGGGTAGTACCGTTAAGCTGGATGGGTGATGGTGTGGCTGAACCAGGGACAGGCTGAAAGAGAATCTGAGTCTTACGTACCTTCACCTCAAGACCGAAGTGTGCATACGCATCTGCGTAGGTGTTCAGGATCTCCTGTAGGTCGAGTTCAGTGTGAGCGACGAGTGTGAGGTCGACTGAATGCTGAAGGTCAGGAATGGAAGCGGCCGGCACCTTTGTTCCTGCCTGGAGTCGTCTGACATTACCAGACCGAGCCACGCCAGTCATTACTAGACCAAGCCACGCCAGTCATTACTAGACCAAGCCACGCCAGTCATTACTAGACCGAGCCACGCCAGTCATTACTAGACCGAGCCACGCCAGTCATTACTAGACCGAGCCACGCCAGTCATTACTAGACCGAAAACCACTCGGTCATTACTGAACCGAGCCGCCAGTCATTGCAAGGAGCCAAAGCCGCCAGTCATTACTAGACCAGGCCACGCCAGTCATTGCTGAACCGAGCCGCCAGTCATTACTGAACCGAGCCACGCCAGTCATTACTGAACCGAGCCACGCCAGTCATTACTAGACCGAGCCACGCCAGTCATTACTAGACCAAGCCACGCCAGTCATTACTGAACCGAGCCACGCCAGTCATTGCAGACCAGGGCACGCCGGTCATTACTAGACCGAGCCACGCCAGTCGTTACTAGACAAGGCGCCAGTCATTACTAGACCGAGCCGCGCCAGTCATTACTGAACCGAGCCACGCCAGTCATTACTAGACCAAGCCACGCCAGTCATTACCAGACCGAGCCACGCCAGTCATTGCCCAGACCGGTACGCCAGTCGTACCAGACCGAGCCCGCCAGTCATTACCAGACCGAGCCACGCCAGTCATTACCGGGCCGAGCCACGCCAGTCATTACCAGACCGAGCCACGCCAGTCATTACCAGACCGAGCCACGCCAGTCATTACCAGACCGAGCCACTCCAGGTCATTACTGGGCCGAGCCACGCCAGTCATTACTAGACCGAGCCACGCCAGTCATTACTAGACCGAGCCACGCCAGTCGTTACCAGCCGAGCCACTCCAGTCATTACTGGAGCCAAGCCACGCCAGTCATTACTGAGCCGAGCCACGCCGGTCATTGCAGACCGAGCCACGCCAGTCGTACCAGACGCCGAGCCACGCCAGTCATTACCAGACCGAGCCACGCCAGTCATTACCAGACCGAGCCACGCCGGTCATTACCAGACCGAGCCACGCCAGTCATTTACTAGACCGAGCCACGCCGGTCATTTACTGGAGCCGAGGCCACGCCAGTTATTACTAGACCGAGCCGCCGGTCATTACTAGACCGAACGCGCCAGTCATTTACTAGACCGAGCACGCCAGTCATTACTAGACCGAGCCGCCAGTCATTTACTAGACCGAGCCACGCCAGTCATTACTAGACCAAAGCACGCCAGTCATTACTAGACCGAGCCACGCCAGTCATTACTAGACCGAGCCACTCAGTCATTACCAGACCGAGCCACGCCAGTCATTTACCAGACCGAGCCACGCCAGTCATTGCAGACCGAGCCGCCAGTCATTACTAGACCGAGCCACGCCAGTCATTTACTAGACCGAGCCGCCAGTCATTACTGGGCCGAGCCACGCCAGTCATTACTAGACCGAGCCGCCAGTCATTTACTAGACCGAGCCACTCCAGTCATTACTAGACCGAGCCACGCCAGTCATTACTGAACCGAGCCGCCAGTCATTAATGGGCCGAGCCACGCCAGTCATTGCCAGACCGAGCCACGCCAGTCATTACTAGACCGAGGCCGCCAGTCATTGCTAAGCCGAGCCACGCCAGTCGTTACTAGACCGAGCCACGCCAGTCATTACTAGACCGAGCCACGCCAGTCATTACCTGAACCGAGCCACGCCAGTCATTTACTAGACCGAGCCACGCCAGTCATTACTAGACCGAGCCGCCAGTCATTACTGGGCGAGCCACGCCAGTCATTACTGAACCCGAGCCACGCCAGTCATTACCAGACCGAGCCACGCCAGTCATTACCAGACCGAGCCGCAGTCATTACCAGACCGAGCCACGCCAGTCATTACCGGAACCGAGCCGCCAGTCATTGAACCGAGCCACGCCAGTCATTTACCAGACCGAGCCGCCAGTCGTGCAGACCGAGCCACGCCAGTCATTGCAGACCGAGCCACGCCGGTCATTTACCAGACCGAGCCCGCCGGTCATTACTAGACCGAGCCGCCAGTCATTACTAGACCGAGCCACGCCAGTCATTACTAGACCGAGCCACGCCAGTCATTTTAGACCGAGCCACGCCAGTCATTACCAGACCGAGCCACGCCAGTCGTTACCAGACGAGCCACGCCGGTCATTGCCAGACCGAGCCCGCCGGTCATTACTAGACCGAGCCACGCCGGTCATTGCAGACCGAGCCACGCCAGTCATTACCAGACCGAGCCCACGCCAGTCATTACCAGACCGAGCCACGCCAGTCATTACCAGACCGAGCCGCCAGTCATTACCAGACCGAGCCGCCGGTCATTACCAGACCGAGCCACGCCAGTCATTACCAGACCGAAGCCACGCCAGTCGTACCAGACGAGCCACGCCGGTGCATTTACCAGACCGAGCCACGCCAGTCATTTACCGAACCGAGCCACGCCAGTCATTACCAGACCGAGCCACGCCGGTCATTACCAGACCGAGCACGCCAGTCATTACCAGACCGAGCCGCCAGTCATTACCAGACCGAGCCACGCCGGTCATTACCAGACCGAGCCGCCGGTCATTACCAGACCGAGCCACGCCAGTCATTACCAGACCGAGCCGCCAGTCATTACCAGACCAGGCCACGCCGGTCATTACCAGACCGAGCCACGCCAGTCCATTACTGAACCGAGCCACGCCAGTCATTACCAGACCGAGCCACGCCAGTCATTACCAGACCGAGCCGCCAGTCATTACCGAACCGAGCCACGCCGGTCATTACCAGACCGAGCCGCCAGTCATTACCAGACCGAGCCGCCAGTCATTACCAGACCGAGCCACGCCAGTCATTACCAGACCGAGCCACGCCAGTCATTACCAGACCGAGCCGCCAGTCATTACCAGATAACCGAGCCACGCCGGTCATTACCAGACCGAGCCACGCCAGTCATTACCAATTTGAGCCACGCCGGTCATTGCAGACGAGAGCCACGCCAGTCATTTACCAGACCGAGAGCCACGCCAGTCATTACCAGACCGAGCCACGCCAGTCATTTTCCAAGACCGAGCCACGCCAGTCATTACCAGACCGAGCCGCCAGTCATTTACCAGACCGAGCCACGCCGGTCATTGCCAGACCGAGCCACGCCTGTCATTACTAGACCGAGCCGCGCCGGTCATTACTAGACCGAGCCACGCCAGTCATTACTACTTAGACCGAGCCACGCCGGTCATTACACTGAACCGAGCCGCCAGTCGTTACTAGACCGAGCCACGCCGGTCATTTATAGACCGAGCCACGCCAGTCATTACTAGACCGAGCCACGCCGGTCATTACTGAACCGAAACCCTCCAGTCATTACTAGACCGAGCCACGCCAGTCATTACTAGACCGAGCCGCCAGTCATTACTAGACCGAGGCCACGCCGGTCATTACTAGACCGAGCCACGCCGGTCATTACTAGACCGAGCCGCCAGTCATTTACTAGACCGAGAGCCACGCCAGTCATTTATAGACCGAGCCGCCGGTCATTACTGGTCGAGCCACTCCAGTCATTACTAGACCGAGCCACGCCAGTCATTACTAGACCGAGCCGCCAGTCATTACTAGGCGAGCCACGCCAGTCATTACTAGACCGAGCCGCCGGCCCATTACTAGACCGAGCCACGCGGTGTTTACTAGACCGAGAGCCACTCCAGTCATTACCAGACCGAGCGCGAAGTCATTACCAGACCGAGCCACGCCAGTCATTACTGAGCCTGCCATACCAGTCACTGGTGTATTTTTTGGTCAAGATGGAATTTCTGGCAGCACCGGAAACCGATGCCAGAAATTCCCGGCAAGCGAGATAAATTATCTGATTTTGGTAGAACTAATGCGTAGTTATATTATTAGCAGGCGGCATAATATATATATATATATATATATATATATATATATATATATATATATATATATATATATATTTATATATATATATATTTATATATATATATATATATATGTATATTTATATATATATATATATATTTATATATATATATATATATATATATATATATATATATATATATATATATATATATATATATTTATATATATATATTTCATTTTTAGTCCATATAACACGCAGACTTTGAACATATAATCAACGACTACCAGTTAGGAATCGAACCTCGACCATGCATGGGACCAGGGAACGTTACAGACCATACCACAAGAGCTCTTGTGGTATAGTCGGTAACGTTCCTTGGTCCCATGCATTAGGTCGAGGGTTCGATTCCTGGTTCTCGATGGACCACCAGGATACTAAAATCAGTCCTAGACTCTGTTATATTTCACACAAAGCCTGTTCAACGAACTTATGGCGCCGTGAACCTCTAATGGGGACTACCCGTATCACGGGTAGAGGTTCACGGCGCCATACGCTCGTTGAACAGGCTTTGTGTGAAATATAAGTCTAGTACTACTTTTAGTATCCTGGTGGTCCAGCGGTTAGCGTTCCCCGGTCACAGTCATGGGCTCGTGGGCCATGGGTTCGAATCCTGGCGGGTTGAGGTGTTGATTGTATATATATATATATATATATATATATATATTTATAGTTTAGTCACGTTTACTTGTTTTTGTTGTTTTCTGTTGACGTACATAGAGAATAATTGTATAGCTTCTGGGTCCTACGTAATTTACAGTAACCATCTGAACTAACACGCTATAACGTCACTGTTTATTTAGCAAGAAAAATACAGAGTGGACAATAACAACACTATTGACATGGCTGAGTCAAGTGAGAGTATAGTACCAAATGGGGCGCTATAATATAATTGTTGGAAAAATGCAGTTAAAATACAATAAAATACAGTACTTTAATTTCATCTAAATATTTTATGTCCGTAGGGGTACAGAGGACAGTGTTCGGGTGTCTGTTAGATTTTATGGTTAAATTTGTTCGGTTGTAAATTGTCGTTGGGTTGCCTCGCCCGGCCTTTAGTGTACATATTTGCATTGCTAAAATTTATCTATTTTCCTTCATATTATAATTAAACACATTACTTAAAACATTCTAAACTGTACTGTAACTATTATTAGTACCTTCATTACTTTAATAATACACCAATTACTTAACAAAAAATTATAAAAATACCCCTTTTATATAACTAAGAGACCTAATTTATAAAACTAATAATAAAAAATATAAATTCCGGTGTTTTTACAATTAATCGCTTATTTATTTGTTTACCGAAATGTATTGAAGATTATATAAGACGTTTAAGCTATATTATAAATTAGTCTCGGGTGAAATATAAAGAAATTAAAAGCGATTAGACTGTGTGTAAGAGCCAGCAGCCGCCATAATGATAACTTCTTGGCCTTGATACATCTTATAAACACAGACGTAGACACAGAGCCACAATTATTAACTATTACCTTCTTCGTACCTTATCTTCGTTATTCTCTCTACCTTGCCACACCCTCGATTATATTTGTGAGTTTAAACGTGATAGATTATTATGGAATGTAAATTTTTCAGCGTTTAAGTGATGATGCTGGACGATAATAATTTGCGTTTGTTGTACTGGGTATGTAAACATTCTGGTGCTGGGAGCGTTATTGTTATTGTCATTATTATTGTTATTATTGTCGCTGTTATTATTATTATTACAAAAAGTAGTAGCAGTAGCAGCATCACTTTTCTTGGTTATCGTGAAATTAAAATGACAAAAATCTCTGTTAACGGAGATTACAGTTAACGGTATCCAACAGTAGTGAGAAGATAACGGAACATCCCCGTTAACACATCACACAATCCGTGAAACAACAGAGGAGCCTGTTAATGGGTATATTTTACTTGTAATGGTATAGAGTATAGACGTATAGTACAATTATAGTTATACCTCCTATAATACTTAGTTATAGGTAGTGGGTATAATACTATAGACGCAAGATGTATAATATGTGTAATGAAACTAATACTAAGACGGACATTATAAATCAACAAGAATATACATAGGTGTGTGAAGGTGTACAATACCTGTAATTATACTGAGTACTAAAGGTGTACATTGTAATTATATCCAGTACTAAGGTAGTATAAGCTAAGATATACGTACAATACCTTTAGCTACATTATTTACCAGTGTACATTGTAATCATAACGTGTACTAAAGCGTACCAGAGTGTACAAAAACCTGTAATTACCTCCAGGACCTTGATAGCCGCCTACACATGATATTAGGAGAGAAGCCGTGTCGCGTGACGCACTGTCTCGTAAGCGTGACGCATGACGCATTGCTATGACGTTTCGGTCTTTAAATACGATGGTCGGTTACGTAACTGTGACGAACCGATACTATTAAAGGGGGTAGGAGGGTATGTGGTGCCAGGAAGAAGGAAGGATGAGACACCGCCAGGACCAGGAGGAGGATTAGAAGGAAGATCAGGAGGAGGAGGAGGAGGAGGAGGAGGAGAAGGAGGAGGATGATGGTATAAGAACGCCAGGATGAAGGAAGGATGAGAGACACGACCAGGAGGAGGAAGGAGATGTATAAGAACGCCAGGATGAAGGAAGGATGAGAGACACGACCAGGAGGAGGAAGGAGATGTATAAGAACGCCAGGATGAAGGAAGGATGAGAGAGACCGCCAGGATAAGGAGGAGGAGGAGGAGGATGAGGATGGTATAAGAACGCCAGGATGAAGGAAGGATGAGAGACACGACCAGGAGGAGGAAGGAGATGTATAAGAACGCCTGGATAAAGGAAGGATGAGAGAGACCGCCAGGATAAGGAGGAGGATCAGGAGGAGGAGGAGGAGGAGGATGGTATAAGAAAGCCAGGAAGAGAAAGGGAGAAAAGGAAAGGATTTAATAACATCAATAATAATGTTTCTTTCATTTATTTATGTCTCTTTAAACATCAAGTTGTTCATTTATTTGTCTGCCCATTACTGTGTTTATATTGTATTGTTTATGTCTGTTTATTCACTCATTTGCATAACTATTTGTCTATATTCACTTGGGTGTTTACTTGTTACGTGTTTGTTAATTTATTTGTTTTTATTTGTGTGATGGTGGTGGTTGTGGTGGTGGTGGTTGTGGTGGTGGTTGTGGTTGTGGTGGTGGTGGTGGTTGTGGTGATGGTGGTGGTTGTGGTGATGGTGGTGATGGTGGTGGTGTTGGTTGTGATGTGGTGATGGTTGTTGGGATGATGATGACGAAGATGATTGTAATGATGATTATTATACCGTACGCCATTGCCACACACACACACACATACACACGTACACACACACATACACAAACACATACATACACACACGGAGAAACAGACAGACTCACGGGCGTGTCCTAGTCTTAACCCCCGCAACTTCGTAATTAAAGTTTTGTGTTAGCTAGTGGAAGCGCCATTATAACTTAGCCTCCACTTAATTACTGGTTAATGAGAGCTATTATATACCCGCTAATGATACGCCTGATCTACGTGTTCCTTATATATAAATAGTGTGTGTGTGTGTGTGTGTGTGTGTGTGTGTGTGAGTGTGTGTGTGTGTGTGTGTGTGTATTACAGACACGCTGGTCGCAGCTGTGAGTCGCCACAATAATGGAAGCGACAATCACATCCAATTTGGGTTAATTTAAGGTCCTCCAGCCTAGTCCCTCACCGCCGACCCCGGGTTCTAAGGCAAAGGTCTTGGGTTCGAATGTAAGGAACCGGGTTCAAATGTAAGGAACCGGGTTCAAATGTAAGGGCCCGGGTTCAAATGTAAGGGCCCGGGTTCGAATGCACAGGACCCGGGTTCAAAACAAGGATCCTGGGTTCGAATGTCACTATTGTGACAACTGCTCCCCCCACACACACACTGCGATCCCTTCGTTAAGAAAACATTACTGCAGAATCATATCATTAAGAA